GGTCGGAGTACTCACATTACTCCCTGCACCATGTGTGCAGATTCAGGCATAGCAGAGTCCGCACCTGAGCGTTGATTCCTTCCAGACTAGGCAGCAATTTGGAGTTACGAGGTAGCTGTTGACGTCCGCAGGCCCTTGTCTCCCCTTTTCTTACATCATTCATGTTTTCTTCAGACTATTGTATCGGATTTTACACTTTGTAGACTATAGCAAACTCAGTAGTAGCTCATGACTTGTGACACCCCGGTTTGGGCTGTGTCGGGATGGTTTTCCCTTGTTATTATCGTTGTTCCCGCGTTTATGGTTATCCTAAACATGTGTTAGAATTGTTAATGTTAATTAATTGCTTTAAAAGAGGTATTTGTGTTGTTCTGGTTGGCCTTGTCTTCACGAGAGGCGCCATCACGATCGGGTTCGGGTTTTGGGTCGTGACAAATATATATTTATATGGATGTCCACTAATCAAATATAGCTCCCACTACTCTTCTCCATTATGTAGATAACCCCCACTACTTCTCACCATTATTGTTGTAACTCTCACACCTCCATAACCTACCCACGATCTTCCTCCATGATCTCAAATGCTTAATAGCATATTTATGAAATTCTTTTGGTATACCTCAATGTTGTACTATAAATAGAGGATGAGAACTCATTTTGTAATACACTTGAATACATGGAAGAAATAAGAATATCTTCTCTCTTGCTCCCTACATTCTTGTCTATTTTCTTGTTTTATATTATTAATTTGAGCTAAGTTTTGTAACATTTCTTACATTTTCATTTAAATTTAATGAATTCTTTTTTTATTTGTTGTAATATTTTTTGTACTTCTTACCTTCCTAAAAAATTGACATATATACCTTCGAAAAGTCAAAAAAAAATCTCATTGCAAGAAAATACTTTTACTACCATATCGAAGAAAAGAAAATATAAATAGGGCCTGTAATACAGATCGAGAAGCTTTTCTGAAATGGCTATTTTCTCTCTCGGTGCACGTTAGCTTAACCTGCGCCTACCATGGGTAAGAGAGATCGTATCCCGTCTCAGAAAGCACTAATGGCGAAGGAAGCAGCGGATTCAAAGAGTAACGCTCAACGAGGGACTAAAAGAAGGACAACAACAACTGAAAATTCTGGGAATAAGCAATTGACCCCTAATGTCAATGGAACAGTACCAAAAATTTTGGAAAATGAGAAACTTAAGCAGATTGAAGCAATTCAAGTATGGGATGAAGTCCAGCAAGCGTCAACAAGCAGTAATCCAATGGTGCATGTGAGCACTAGAAGGAAATCAAGGGCCGATGAGGTCGATGAAATGAACAAAGTGCAAGGGAAGAAGAGTTCAGTGTGGGATAATTTTGATATCACAAAAATATCAAATGTTGGGTACAAATTGGAGTTTGTCCAACCTAAATCAACAGGTGAGTCTACTTTTGTTGAAATTGAATTGGAGGATATTAGTACAGAAATTGATTTTGGGAAATGCCGTGATCTGCTATGTGCTTGGGGTTCATCCACCGTTTGCTGTAATTTAAGGCTACACACAGAGGTTGTGGGGTAAACATGGCATAGATAGGATTGCAATTTTAAAAAATTGGGTAATCGTTATTCGATTTGACACTGCAATAGAAAAACAGGAGGTAATTGAGGGTGGCATCTATCACTTTGATAACAAGCCTCTCATTGTCAAAGCCTGGACACCTAAATTGGAGTTCACTCGTGAGGAGCTAATAACAGTACCAATTTGGATTAAATTGCCAGCATTGGACTTCAAATATTGAGTCCAAAAGGGCTAAGAGCCCGTTTGGCCAAGCTTCTAGGAGGTCAAAGTACTTTTTCCCCCCCAAAAAAGTACTTTTTAAAAAATTTGAGTTGTTTGGCCAATACAGAAAAGTACTTTTTGCCAGCAGCATAAGCAGTTTTTCTGCTTTTGGGAAGTAGCAGAAGATTCTAGCTTCTTCCAAGAAGCAAAAGCAGAAGTAGAAAATTAATTTATTCAAGACAAAACTATCCTCACCATAAATATATATTTTTCAAATTATCCCTTACTAATTTAAGTTTTTTCTTTTCATTTTTGTTTCTAGTTTTTACCATCCTATTAAAATTAAAGATATCACATATATGAATCGTATTGTAACTTTTCAAAAATTTTATTGACTTTTCTTGTTTTTGATCTTTTTTTTTGGGTAATGTCTCGTAACTTTCTAAATTATCTTCTTCTTTTTTCACACTAAAGCAAATTATCTGCATCTTCTTTGGATTATCAATTCTCTTCCTACAAATAATTATTTATAATTTCTTCTATTATATGCTATTAGTTCCCGAATCTTTAAAACAATTACCAAATCTGATTTGTGAAAATGATGTACAAATAGGTAATAAATTTTACAACTGCATTGCATAATCTATCTATATATTATTAAAAGAAGAAGAAAATACATCCATATTTAGTCAAGTGGCAGCCTCACAATAGGCCACTTGGCATTTTAGGACAAAGTTAGTAAGGTTAGGTAATAATTAGTTTCTTTTTGAATTTAATTTTTTTAAATAAATTATACATTATGTGTTTTTAATAATTAGTTACTCTTTTTGAATTAGAATTTAAACATACTTAACTATTTCTTTTACGATTTTTTTAATATATTTAATATTATTTTTATTTCACGCTCAATGCCATCTTTCAAGTTTGACACTCAAAATCATCTAGTTACAACTACCATGGCTATACATAATTTCATCCGACAACATTCTTTTACCGATAAAGAATTCAACTATTATGTTAGTGAAGACATTACTGAAGAGATTGATGAAGGAGATCAACCTTCTGATATTCCTTTAGAAATGCGAGGCAAGCCTTCTACTAATATGGAAACATTGTGTGATAGAAGTAGAGATGAACTTGTTGAGAAGTATTATCATGTGTGAGTGACTTTACTTATTATTTCATGATGGATTATCAATATATAGTAATTTGTGGATAGACTTCTAATTTATAATGAATGATGTTATTTTAATATTCAAATCATCATATAAAAATAAGTAATTATACTATATAATATCATATACTTTAATATAACTATATATGTAAAATTGATTTAATCTTTAATATGTTTGTTTCTTTATGTTTTATATTTTAATTAAATAAAATAAAAAAATAATAAAAGTCTCTTATGGTAAATATTTAAGTTCATTTTATATTTAAACGAATTATACGACCTTGGTACTATCCTTTTTGGTAATTTGACACTCAAAAGCACTTTTTGGAATGATTGGCCAAACACAAATTATTTACCAAATGTTGCAAAAAGTACTTCTTAAATGAATTGGCCAAACACAAACAATTTTTTTTTTCAAAAGTACTTTTAAAAAAGTACTTCTTAAAAAAAGTACTTTTCAAAATAAGCAGATTTTGGCAGCTTGGCCAAACGGGCTCTAAGTAAGATAGGGAGTCTGGTTGGCAAACCTCTAATGGTTGACCAGAACACAGAAAAGATGATTGGTTTGAATTTTCCTAGACTGTTAGTGGAGGTTGAAATGGATGCTAAACTACTTGATGTGGTGATGTTTAGGAATGAGAAGGACAAGCTAATAGATCAAAGAGTTAGCTATGACTGGAGGCCAACTCTTTGTACCCATTGCTTAAAGTATGGGCATGAAGAAGGAGTATGCAGGCTCAAGAGGAAAGCTCCAAAGAATGAACAAATGAACAAAGAACAGACAACAGACACTCAGGTGGAGAAGCAAGGTCAAGTGCAAAGTGAGAAGATCCATGAAGCTCAGAGAACAAATGTAAATGCCACAAGGATTACTGCAGGAAAATGAGCTCTAGGGAAAACACAACAATATGTAGCTAAGGAGCAGGGGGTAACAAAGGAAAGAAATGCAGAACAAGGTTGGAAAACACCTAATAAATATGGTAAGACTGTGGTAAGACAGAAGGAACAAATGGAGAAATCCAATTCATTCCAGATTCTGAATAAGCGGGAGGGCCTCAATCTGTCCAAGGACGGGGGGGGGGGGGGGTAGGGAAGTAGTGTGGTGGCTATATCCTCACAATGGGAGTGTTAGGTCTACTAAGTTAGGAGTAACTNATCTGTCAAAGGAGGGGGGAGAAGGAAGTAGTGTGGGTGGCCTAATTATCCCTCACAATGGGGATGGTTAGTCTACTAAGTTGGAATACTAAGGGGCTTAATGCTCCTAATAAGCAAAAGGAGATTAAGCTCCTTTGCAATGAGAAAAGAGTAGGTTTAATAGGCCTACTGGAAACAAAAATTAAAAAAGAAAGGAAGGAGCAGTTAGCAGAAAAGATGTTTGCTGGATGGAAGTTTGTAATAAATCTTGACTGTCATTACAATGAGAGAATCTGGATCACCTGGAGGCCAGACTACTACCAGATAGTACCTAGGCAAAAGACTGCACAACTAGTAACCTCTGAAGTACTGTATGTTCCTCTCCGACTATCATTTGAGGTAACCTATGTATATGCTTTTAATACAAAAGATGAGAGGAAGGGATTATGGGAAGATTTAATCACTCACAGTAGAGGATGTAGTAAACAATGGATGGTAATAGGTGATTTTAATTCAGTCTTGAATGCAGAGGATAAAATAGGAGGAAATGAAGTGAGATGGGCTGAAGTGGTGGATTTCTATAATTCTGAAGTGGAGTGTGGCTTGATGGAGTTACTTGCACAAGAAAATAGATACACTTGGAGTGATAAATATGAAGAGCACAGAATCTTCTCAAAAATTGATTGGATTTTTATTAATGAGGAGTGGTTTGATACCATGCCAGAATGCAATGCAAGATTTTTGACGGAAGGAATTAGTGATCATTGTCCTGCAAAGTTACTTTTACATAGGAGAGGCAGAGAGTAGGAGATCATTTCAATTTTGTAATGTGTGGACCCAACATCCACAATTCATGAGCACAGTCAAAGAGGGTTGGAAGTATAATGTGGAAGGATGCAAAATATTTACAGTTGTAAAAAGACCGAAGATGTTAAAGAGGGGATTGAAAACTTTAAACACACAGGCTTTTCATAACATAGTGACTGAAGCAGATGAGGATAGGAACACACTAAAGCAGATCCAAGTTCAGCTGCAGAGATGTCCTACTAATGTGGAATATCAACAAGCTGAAATTAGTGCATATCAAAAATTCAGGCAGTCATCTTACCTAGCTGAAGTGTACTTACAACAAATGAGTAAAGCAACATGGATTAGATTGGGAGATGACAACACCAAATACTTTCATTCAGTAATCAAGCATAGAAAACTGAAGCAGGCAATTACTCAGCTCAAGGACAGCTCTGGTCTTTGGCAAACATATCTTGATACAATAGCTGGTATATTTGTTGATTACTATAAAAATTTACTAGGTAGGAAAGCAACTGAAAGGGTAAAAGCTTTTAGTAGTATAATAAAAAATGGGAACAGTCTCTCAGAAGCTCAGCAACAAGAAATAATGCAACCTTTTTTGGAAAGAGAAGTAAAGCAGGCTATGTTTCAGATTGACAATAATAAGAGTCCTGGTCCTGATGGATTTGGGAGTGGATTTTACAAAGCAGCATGGCCAATAGTGGGAAGAGAAATCACTGCAACAGTCCTATAGTTTTTTCAGAATGGCAACATGCTCAGGCAAATAAATGCTACTAACATTGCATTGATACCTAAAGTGGAAGTTCCAGAAAATGCAGGCCAATACAGGCCTATCTCCTGCTGTAATATTCTATACAAGTGTATATCTAAATGATCTGTTCCAGGCTAAATCCAGCAGTAAGTCATATAGTAGCAGATAATCAGTCAGCTTTTGTACAAGGAAGGTCCATGATGCACAATGTGTTAATATGCCATGACTTACTAAGGCACTACAATAGGAGGACAACTCCTAGGTGTTTAATGAAAATAAACCTTAGAAAGGCATATGATATGGTGAGCTGGAGTTTTTGGAGGAAGTTCTAAGAGGGTATGGATTTCCAGATAAGTTCATACACTGGATCATGGTATCTATTTCTACTACTATGTTCACAGTTAAAGTTAATGGTGAAGGACATGGTTACTTTGCTGGAAAGAGAGGGTTTAGGCAAGGAGATCCAATTTCTCCATTGCTATTTGTTCTTGTAATAGAATGCCTTTCTAGAACTTTAAGGACAATCAGTAGACTGCCTGATTTCAGGTTCCATCCAATGTGTAAAGGGATCAAGCTGACACATCTCATATTTGTTGATGAGTTGATGATATTCTGTAAAGGAAATACTAGCTCAGTAAATAGAGTAATGGAAGCCCTTGATCACTTCAATAAAGTATCTGGTTTGATTGCAAATATGGAAAAATCAAGCATCTTTGTAGCTGGGGTTGGAGATGATATCGAAGATCAACTGTTGAGAAGAACATGTTTCACTGCTGGAACATTTCCTATCAAATACTTGGGGCTGCCTCTATCTCCTAGGAAATGGAACAAGATGGATTGTCAAATGTTGATTGGGAAGATCACTCACAGAACTAATGTTACATATTCTAAGTAATTGCCATATGTAGGAAGGCTTCAAATAGTTAATGATGTGCTCTTCTCTATACATAGCTTCTGGGGAAATGTTTTCATTATACCACAAAGTATGGTGAAAGGAGTTGATAAGCTATGTAGAGAGTATCTATGGGGAAAAAAGGAGGGACAGAAGAAAGTGGCTCTGGTTGTATGGGATAAGGTGTGTTGTCAAAAGAACTTGGGGGGTCTAAATATCAAAGGTTGTAAGGAACGGAATATAGCCTTAGTAGGTAAACTAATATGGCAGCTGGTTGTAAATAAGGAATCCCTATGGGTAAGGTGGGTTCATAGGGTATATATGAAATCTGATCATGACATATGGGCTCATACACCTCCAATAGATAGTAGCTGGTATTGGAGAAAGCTAAACTCAACTAACAAAATTAAAGAAGGAATGGTACTCCCAGGGCAGATATACATTAACTCCAGAAGGGAGTTACTCAATTACTCGAAGCTATCTTGAAATAATTAGTCGACAACAGAAGCTGAAGGTTGCAGATTTAATATGGACAGCTGTAGCACAACCCAAACACAGGTTTATTGGTTGGCTTGCAACACTTGGGATGCTGCTAACTAAGGATAGGATGATTGGAATGCAATTACAGGTTGAAAACATTAGCTGTAATTTGTGTAATGAGGACACACTGGAATCACAGGACTATCTGTTTGTTAAATGTGGCTGGATCAATGCAGTAAGGCAAGAGTTAAATTTGTGGTTAGGGCAGGCAGTGCAAATTACAGGAATCAAACAAATGCTGGAACATAGCAAAAGGAAGCATTAGAAGCAATTCAAAAAGGAAGTGATAGCTGTAGTGAATATAGCAGTGATATACCATACATGGAGAGCTAGGAACGTTAAAATTTTTCAGGGAAGAACTGTAAATAGAGCAAAGGTAGTTACACAAATTAAGAGAGAAGTGATAGAAATGATAGAATTACTTCAGCAGTCAAAGAAAGCTCAGAAATGTAGAAGTTTAGTTAGACAAATTACTTGTAACTAGTTGTTTCTGTTTGTTGGAGTCCTAAAAGTCTGTGGATAGATAATTAGGTGCTCTATAAGTGTAATTGTTTGATGATGTTAATGGTAATATTCACATTGTTACCAAAAGAAAATATAAAGAGAAAAAGAGTAGATAAAATAATATCCCATGCTCAAATATAAATACCTTAATAAAGATCTAATGTATTTTATTTACTAAAAAATATGTGTTATTTTTTAGTGATCTCTTGTGGAAACGATTTATATAACTAAAATAATATTGATAATGAATTATGAAACTAAAAATATTTTGTTATAGAAAAACTAAATGTTCTCTGAAATAGAAAATCAATTCACGATATGGAAAAATAGGTACGCTTATATTTTGAAAAAAAAATTACTCGATTGATGAGTGTGAAAATTTGTATCCTATGTTGACACCAAATAGATGAATACTAGACGTTTCTACTTGCATATATAAATTTTGTTGTCATTTAACTAACATTTAATGGTATATTTTCTCACATTATTTTGTGAATTGTAAGGTCCAATGTAGAAAATGGGTTCAAGTGATTTTGTTCTTTTGGGTATATAAAATATTTCAACTTTTTTACCTAACTCATAAGCGGCCCCTTCCTTACACTTGTCTGATTATTTTATTTTACCACCTGATAATGCGTAGTTCCAATTTAACACTTGTACCATTCAACAGCAATGTAAAATCGCAAGAGAGTGGGTTAGGGTTGCATGAGCTATTTGATATCATTTAAATGCCGTTAATGTTATGTGTATTTTTTTTTTCTTTTTTTTACGCGATTTATTTTGGTTGGTCTTAATACTCATGTCAGAGAATTTGGTTACACGCGATGAAGTTGTTCGGCAAAATAAGTGAAAAGTGTTAAATTGGTTCAAATGTTGGATAGAACGAGTGTTAAATTGAAACTACGTCTTGACCATGTGTTAAATAAAAGAATCAGATAAGTATAAGGGGTCGCTAATGAGTTTGACCTTCTTTTTTAATTGCAAGACATAAACTAATTAAACTATAACAAACTAATTGAACATTCAATTCAATCAATCAATTCCAATGCATTGATAGACTTAATCAAGTACATGATTTAAGTTGATTATTATTTAAATCTCATTACTTGAGAATGCGTCATTATGATTTTTCAATCTCGTTTATCGTTTCGAATAAAGATGGCAATAGAACGGTGCGAGGCGGGTTCAACCTTAACCCGTGAAGACTTCAAAC